CCTCTGTATGACATTAATATCACAATGCTGGGTGGGTGAGGGATTATGCCTGGGCGACCTAATCACAGAAGTACATCCAAAATAAACGGCCATCATAATGGAGGATGTGCAAGGTGCAAAAACTCAGATCTGACATCATGCAAAAAGTCCAGGGAGAGCAGAGCAGTGACGACTAAATTCAGAAGTTTAAAAGGGACATGAATGCATATTAGCAAGAAAATCAACCAATTATCAAACACATGTCAGCTTCTATTTAACATTTAAAAAAAATGTCACCACTCACACTGAACTACATTCAGCAAGACAGACAATAACTTTTCACCAGCCAGTCAAAATAAATAAAACAAACGTGATAACAGCAACACTCTTCTGTGTAGAAGACTAAGTACATTAGTGAGGTGCTTTTTAGAGGAAGCACAAAACTTGTTAAGATGTATTTATAACAAAGTTTAAAGCCAGGTTTTGTGGGAACATTAGCTGATAATGTAAGTAGCAGATTAAAGTCAGATTTAGCTCAGATATATACCACAAAACAAACATTGAAGTAGGAAGCTAACATGGAGCCACATTAGCAGTGTTGTGGTCGTTTTGTGCTCAAAGCTGCACTTGGTTAACATCTGTTGTCCCGCAGATTGTTCACAGTGACTTCAGTCTGTTTTATTATTCAGCCCATTATCAGTTTAGGACAAAAACATTCTTATCCCATTGTGATTAGATTTGCTGTTGTATGGGGAAGAGTTTAAGAACTGTAAATGACACCTTAATGAGAGCTCCTCTGGGAAACTCCATGCTGTTTCATTACCTAAACATCTGCTGCTAATTGTGATAAAGATAAAGTCCCCAAAACAAAAATTACTTGTCTTCTGAACAGCTACAAAACGTTTATCTTATTTCATATAACCAACATAATGTGTGTTAAAACTGTGTTATGACAACAGTATTAACGATATCGTCATCACTCACTGATTCATCTCTGCATCAGTTCTTGTGTATTCTGCCTGTTATTCTCCTCTTTGCTGTTTTTATCACAGGAAGTCATTTTGCTTTTATGTTGATCTCAGGAGCTGCATCATTGATGCTTCGTTTAGCTGAATGTTTGTCTGCTTCTGTGTCAGTGTCATATTTCCTTCGTACTTTTTGAAAAACGTCATTGTCTTGTCAACATTTCATGCTAAGCGCAAAAATAAACTAGAAATAGAAAAGTGGTACATGATGGTGAGATGAATCCTGGTTAGTTTTGTGACTTAAGCTACAGCGACAAATGATGCACAGTTTTGTAAAGCATTGAAATTCAAGACATACCCAAAACATTACCATTATTACTCCTACAGTTGAGGTGGATTGTTTTCTGTTGTTTGCAATCTACAATTTCACCTTTAGGTGTCACTAGTGGCCATTTGTTGAAAGGAGGGATTGCCTGTCAAAGATGGTGTGATATTAAAGCAGACAGTAATTCAGCTGCAGATATTGCTCAGTTAGTCAGAAGTTTAACTTGGATAACCTTTTCCCCAACTTTTATTTTTTAGAAATAATACACTTTGTGCCATATTTATAAAGGCAAACAAACAATCAAATGCAAATGCATTTATCTGACCTAGATAATTAATAAGCTTTTTACCTGCCTCTGCATTCAGACACATACGATTTGCATTTCTATTTATTTCTGCTACACCTTAGCTTTACCTCAAATGTTGCAAATGTTGTTGTGCACTTTTGACAGCGTGTAAAGCTGGTTCCATAAAGGCATCTTAACCAGCCCCCACAATAAGGAAAAGAGAACAACTCTGGAATTAATTTGCATTTTTAACAAATCTCATGTATGCCCTAGCTAATAGTTTTCATCCTTTAATTCGGCAAACAGAAACTCATCAAATATTAATCCCATTCTCTTGTTAGTTTGGATTGCTTGTGATTAGGAGAACATGTGGAAAAGAAAATGCACTTTTGTTTTGTTTTTGTTCTCCTCCTCCCCTCCTCTCTGTTCAAGTGGAGCCAACTGGATAAACTCCATCAAACACAAACCTAATAACGAGATATTGTACACAAGAAATGGCTTCTTCCCTCTTTTTTTTCTGTCATTCCCATATGGAACTCTGCTCATATTGTTGTGTACGCTGACCCGCCGTGTTTGTCCAGTCATACATCACAAAGACACCTGGAGGATTCCCGGCGGGATTTAGAAATCATAACACATCTTCAGACCACTGCCATCTTTACGGCCAGAAACATAAACGCTTTCTTACTGTCAGTTTGTCATCTCTGGAACCCCAGTCCTGCTTCTAACAATTAGCTTCAGGAAAAAATAAAAACAAATGAAAGTGGGTGTTTTTTCTGATTAAGAAGTGGAAACACTTTATCCATCCAGGTTGATTAGTTTGATATAAAAATAATGAGGATGAGCCCACTTTCACTGTAGCCTGCTGTTCTTTACATTCATTAAATAAATCATTTTCTCACCAAATTGTTTCCTCTTATATAAGTTTTTTTGATTCATTTATCAAACACTTTTTCCATACACCGCAAGTCACATTTATTGGGACTCAATGTCAAGATGTGTAACAAATATTAAAATATTTTATTGTAGTAGCATAATCTCATTGAAAAAATTAGGGGAATCAAACTTTCATTATTATTTTTGCTTTACAACATTTATTCATTGGTTTATTTTTACAGAATTACAACTTAAACAGTTATTTGGCATCAATATAGCATCTAAACATTGTTATGGATAATTGGTGACGCTTTGTGTCTTTATGCTGCAGGTCTAAAACTTTTAGGGTTTTTATAATTTCCCTTACATCCTGCTCACTTAGAATGTGAAAAGTCTACCTTTGGTTCTTCTCCATCCTAGTGACCAGAGGGTAAAAACAATCATCTTTTTGGATTTTAACAGTTTTTCAACAAGCATCTTGGTTACTTTAACTGTACTATGTAAAAATCTCTGACCATTTTATTTTGTATTTTTGTGTTGGTTTAACTGCAAACATCGCATCATTTTACACCAGCATTCAAACAAATAGAGCATTCACTGCAGGATTTATCAGCTGTTAGCTCTGGTCTTTGCTTTAATGACTCACTTAAACTCTGAGGAGTTGGATTTCAAGAAACAGAAAGACTGAGTTCATGTTATTCCATGACTAACCTAACTTGTTCTCATATTTGGATTAACTTGTGAGTTTCAAACTTGGCGATCAACAATGAGGTGACAAATGGAAGATAATTCAGGGAGTGAACTCGGGCTGTGCTGCTGTTTCAGAATCTATGAAGTCCAACCAATTTGGGTGGCCTTTTTGAGATGCAAAGCATCCTGCATGTCATGTGGAGATTCTCCTTGTTTCTGATTCTCTGAGGTCAGAGACCATCTCCTCATTTTCCTCCCCCTCTCATTGCTATGGTTGAACACCACAGCCACTGAGTGATGATATCAGAGTCTGAATGTCAAACTTTACTATATCGACTAATCTCCATGTATTCAAACATTTACCATTGGTGCCAGAGTCAGAGCTCACAACAGTGGGAAACACAAAGAACGGCGCTAAGCAAGCGTTGGGCCAGTTTAGAATTAGAATCAGTTTGTGGAGGCATCCCTGGGGAAATGTTATATCTAAGAGGAACAGAAATTCATAAATTATCCATTTAAAGTTCCTAGAGGCTTATCATCCTCAAAAAGTGAAGTATAAATTAAAATAGTGCTTCTCTTTCATTTTACTTAATAGTTAATTAAAAGGTACCAATAATGGTGCCACTGGTGATTTTGGTTGAAACTGTTATTTCTATACATGTTGTTTTTTTTCCCTACTGATATAAAATGTTTTTCTTTCAAAAATGTCCAGTGAGTTAATATGTTACAAAACAATGTTTTCATTCTTTTATTTTAAGGTTTTTTACACATCCTTACAAGGAAGGCATTAGATGTCGTTAATATATTTAACAAGATTTATTTTAGTGTAGGGATCTTTCTGTGCACATCACTTTTATTTTGACAAATTTCCAATATAACTGAAAGTCAGTTTCATACAGATCAAACGAAGCTGTGAATTACCATTTAGATTTAACATATCTCAATGTAATGAGCTGTCTGAACCTATGAAGAGCTGCAAGAACATCATCAACCCACTTCTTCCTCTGGAGGATTGTTGTGCAGCTTCAGCTTGAACAACTACAAAAAGGTTGAACCTATTTTAAATACAAACCAATTAAAAACGACTTTTAGCTGCAGGACAGGATCAGGCTGATACTGATAAACAGCATCTTATGTTTCATTTAAATGTCATTACACAACTTATTCCAATCAAATACCAACTAATGCCTTTGAGAAATTGAGCGAGCTGAAAGCACCGGCTCGAATGAAGCCAACACCTACATGCTCATAATCAAAGGTGAATTGTTGCACAGCCTGTGGCAATTTGCATCCAGTGGAAATTCACTTGGCTTGGTCTAACATCAGATATAGGAGATGTGGTGCTGTGAAGGGTAGGCAGTGTGCAGAGCCACATTTCCACCAAGAGCTGGAGAGTGGTAATTATCATCAGCTGCTCTTGTCTGATTGAGTCTACCCTGCAACTACAGCATGAGATTAGTCACTTTTTATACTTGCAGCAGTGTTCAGGGTTGGATGAAGAACTTTGCCTCATCTTTAAATGCCGTAACTTCACGGATTTCAGGGAAAACTTTTAAAGAAACTAGTTTGTGCCACACTGAACAGGGGATAATCCTACAGAACAATGTGCTCCTCGAAGCTTCTGGAGCCAATTTATTGAATGTAGCATTTTAATTAGCTTGATCAATACTCTATTACAGAGGGTTTAAATGTGATCTGCAGAGAGAAGACAAAGCGCTCAGCTGAGTGACAGACAAGCTCAGACACAACAGATGCAGCTCACCCCAAAACAGATGACTGGATTTGTACTCCTGCACATCAAATGTTAAATGATCTTTTTAGTCAGTCCCTGCATGAAAGCGTCGCTGAGTCTCATAAAGTAGAATAAATCATTGGTTACCTCCTCCGGCGGGTTTGGTGCTGATCCCAGCGCGCCTCTCGGGTTCGGGTTGCTCTCAGGAGCGGAGGATGTAGATGATGCTGAACACCGGAGCGCGCTCCTGCGTCCCGCCGGTCCCCGCACAACAAACGCGTCCGTCCCTTCCCACGGCCACTGTCATCACTGAGTTGGTTCGGAAGCGAGCAGACTCCCAGCTGCCAGAACGGAGCGCTTGTTTGTTCAAAGCAGACGACTCGGCTCCGTCTCCGAGGTTGTGTGCAGGAGGAGCGCCGTGGCCACGCCACCGCCTCAGCTCTGCGTGGCAGACAGGAGGGAAGCGGGGAGGAGCCGTTTCCCGTCTGACGGTCAGGACAAGGTGCTCCCCTCACTGATGCGCCTCAGCAGAACCATTTCTGCTCAGCTTGTCTTTCATATTTCCTTAAATAGTTTGCGCAGCTTCTTGAAGGTTCTATTTTTGGTCTCATGTGCACAGAAACCAACCAACGAGTCCAAACTGTTTGCAATGCGATACTGAAAATTAGTAATTCAAGAAGTAATTCTAAAATTCTACAGATTGATATTTATGAGCATACAGAAGCATTCAGCTTCTATGCGCCACAGATCTGGAACAAACCTCCGGAAAACGGCAAAGCAACTGAAACACTGAGATCCTTTAAATCTAGACTAAAAACCCACCTGGTTAGAGTTGCTTTTAAGTAATGAAACACTAACTAACATTTTGATGTGCAAATACATGGAAAACCGTAAAGCAAATATGATAAGTAATTTCAAACTTTCCTTCTTGTGGCCTATGGTCTATCCATTAAGAAAACTGGAAACTTTATATTTGCCCCTCAGATCTTTGTGTTTAGCACTTTTCCAAAGTTTGGGTATGAAGAGATTCGTAAAGTGTGGAGTAGATTTATTACAGAGCAAAACATTTTAAGAGTTTATTTCTGTTGATTTTGATAACTGGCTTTGAGTGCATAAAAATCTTGAAGTTGAGTTTTTCTGTAGGCTAGCAGCAAAAGCAGCGACAGAACCATGTCTACTGATACATGTATCTATGTATCTATGTATCTGGTCAGGTCAACTCTCTGTTATTATGCTGGGAGTTCAGACTGCCCCAGGGCAGCTGTGGCTACTATCCAGTAGTTTGCCACCATCAGCGTGGGAAAATGTGTGAAAGGGTGAAGCACTTTGGGATCCTCTGGACTTGATCAAAATGCTATACATTGTACAGGACAAAATTCATTCATATACATTACATTTTTTAATATAACATGCATTAACAAATGATTTTATGAAAAACAAATATTTTCTAAAGTGGGTTTAAAATTTTCTCAGGTTCAAGATGATGCAAATATCTATACCACGAAGAGCTAGAAATACTTACAATGCAATAGAGTATTTTTTGTAACACTTATCTGTATTACCACGCTTTTATTTTCATTTTTTATTCACATTACAGATCACATACTTGCTCAGGGGATTCTGTGGAAAGGCTTTTAATTGAAAAAGACGAGGCAGCCTTGCTGAGCAGCTTGTATGTGACACAGGTTATATTTTTGAGAGCTGCTCCAAATGGAGCGAACCGAAGCTGTGAGCCATATTTTACAACAGATTATTTCAATATGGAGCGCAGATAATTTCATGCAAAATGTTGAGCTTGGTTGTTCAAATGAATATAGTGCCTCTAAATGATGACTCAAACATTTTCATGTTTTACTGACATAAAACATGTGAATTTTTGACCTGGTTTCAGAACATGTTTGTGTTTATAACTAAAAATCTGAAACATTTCAGTGTTCATTTTTCAGTCATGAACATAAAAAACAGAAATGCTTCTCTCTTCCTTTACATAATGCCTTTAAATGTTTAACTGCTGCAAAACTATGTTATTTATTGTTTTTGAAGGGGACAAAAGTAATTTACAACTTCACTGATCTTACAAACAAAAAAAGGACACAAAAGTTCAAATTTATTGTGGATTTTCACTCATTTCTTCTGGTCAAAATAAATCATTTTGGTTAAAATACATGCATACACGGCCACAAAAAAAAATTAATTCCACAGCAAGTTGTTCCTCTAACTCATTCATTTTGTAGCTGTCAACAAATATTTAATATCTGACCATTCTTCTCAGTTTGAATCGCTGTCCTGTTAAAATATCCAGCTGTGTTTAACTTGTTTAACTAAAGAGAATCCAAAGACTTAAAGGAAAGTCATCCATTATTCCATCCACTCCATGCAATGTGTCAGAACCTGTGACAGGTAAAACCTTCACAGTATGGTGTTCCCACCACCCTGGGCTGCAAGTGCAGCGATTTTAGGCTTAAAAGTGACTTTTCCAGACATTCTTCTCTTCACTTAGAACAAGTAGCTCAATCTTTGTTTTGCCAAACCATAAAACTATTCTCCAGCTGACATTTATCTGCCCTATGTAGGCAACTGCAAATTTCAGTAGAGGTTGAAGGTGTTTATTTTGGAGCAGGGCGTCTTATTGTTTGTCCCAGTTTATGAAGTTATGAACTGGGTTCACTGCAGATTAGCCATGAGCTGCTTTCCAGATTTAAAGTAAACTTAGGTTTTAAAAAGTTGTGCTTTCAGTTCCACTAAATATTTTCACTATACCTCCCAGGTTAAAGCCATTTTGTAGTATGACAGTGAAAATGTTAGAAAGATTAGAATTAATTCATTCTAATATGTGCACCATTTTTTGTTTTGAATTTCTTGATGCTATGTCATACAGCCATTCAACCATGGAAGGTATAAAGTATAAATAAATGTTAATATTTCAATACGAGGATGTTAAAAGAGTGGCTGTAAACTTCTGAAGTGTTATAGTTTATCAGCATAAAAAGTTTTCAAAATTAGCATAAAGGCTACATTTGATGAGATAAGATGTCAGCCCCATAACCTAGTGAGGAAATGAACTCAGATGTCTAATAGTCAAACGGTGGGCCATGAGAATACTTCATTATGTTGATGCTGATGATGTTGTGTTAAAGAGCTGCATGGAAGATATGATATCATATCATAGACTGTGACTCAAGACATTTCCACATACATCAAACCATGCTTCCTGTTGCTACAGAATGTTTCATTATAGATGCCACGGGAATCTAACAGAGGAAATGTGCTGTGACCAGGAAATGTGCTGAATGTGCTGGGAGGAAATGTGATAATATAGTACAGTTGCTTTTCTGCAGTATAATCATCATTATCATTATAGACAACGTTAATGTGGATCCAATCCATAGCAGGAAAAGGCTACAGTCTTTATTACCTGCAGTTTTCCTCTAATTTTCTCATTTTATTCTGTAATATTGGGAAATGACCGGAGCACTCCTACAATCAACACTAAAATACAATGTTTTGCAAGGGATTCAAACCTTCAAATGTTTCACATTTTTGCCTTGTTAAAAACACAAATGTAGATGAAAATTGCCACCATTTTAGATGACAAACCTATTTATGGAGTGGAGAGAAAAATTATATATGATTTTATAGATATAACTTTTAAAGGTGTGGAGTGCATTTGTACACATCATCTCTGAATCAGTGATTCAGTGACCCGCCTTGTGGGGTGTGCAATCCAACACGTCTAGAGATGCAAAAAAAAAATTAAAAAAAGGTTTGAAATATGTGAAAAACATCTCAAATCCACAGCAGATTTTAAATCATGCTCCAACATGAACCATAACATTCTAATTCAAACTGTATATCTTGAGCCACTGTCTTGCTGGAAACTGAGCTTCAGCCCTAATTTGCAGGTTGTTACTTGGTTAAATTATCACTTATACATGTTGGTCTTTTCTGATCAGAGCGCTCTTTTCCACACATCTGCTAAATCTCCTGCACCCCATACCATACCAAACCAAACAAAACCAAACCAAACCAACTTTACAAGGGGGCTCTTAAGGGTTATTTAGTATTTATGGGGTATGCTACCAATAATCCTGCTTCAAACTGATGTTCCCATCTGAGCTGTGGATTTCAGCAGCTCCTGAAGTCACCTTGGGTCTTCTGACTGCTGCTGAAATCAACACTCTCCTTGCCCAGGCTGTCAGTTTAGGTTGTTGAACATATTTTGTGAGTAGGTTTACATTTTAGTCATACTCTTTCAAAAGATGGATTGGTCTGTGCTCTGGGGCATGTTCAAAGATTGGGACATTGTCTAAACAGTTGGTGAAACGTAAAATTGCTTTAATCCTCTTCAGCACTTTCTCCCTGCTTGTCTACTGTGTTCTTTGGTCTTCATGATGCTGTTTGTTCTCTATGTTTGCCTAACAAACCTCTAAGGCCTTCACTGAAGAAATGTATTCATGCTGAGTTTAAGTTATATGCATGTACTGGTTCAGTGACATCTGAAAGCATTGGTTTGCTGTATTTTAGTTAGAGGAAATCAGAGTAAAAATAGTCTTAAAGCCATGTGTCATTTTACTTCAATGGTTGTGATTGTGGTTAGAAAACAAGGTAATCTTTGTGCAGGAGAAGAGAGCATCACTTAACCAACTGCATAAGTGTGTAACACTAAGATAACAGCAATTATCAAGCTGGTAGGATATAATGTCTGAAAGAAGACAAAGAAAGGGTCAGATATGCCTGGGAGCAACATCCCCCATTCATAATGGAAGTGTACAATGTGTGTCTAACATCCCCATCGACTAGGCTACCTACAGGAGGCTGTCTCACAATCCTGGCTGCTGCTGCTGCTGCTGCTGCTGCTGGATATTCCTAAAATGAGAGTCAATGAGAGGGCAAATGAAGGGCATATTTATTTTTGCTCAGTGTGGGTTTGTGGAAGGACAGACGGAAAGGGATCATATTTGATGGCTTTAAAAGGAATGGTGTGTTATGACAAAATATGGCAGCTGGCTGTAGATATTTAGTCTGGGACACTGAATAACTCAGCTCTCACCAGCAGCACTGAAGCTGACATGAAAATGTGACTAAATGAAGAAGGTCTTAGCTCTAATTGAGCACAAAAGAGGACTTTAAAATGATAGGGTAACAGTTTGAGGAGTGGAAATGGAAATTCTGTCCTTCTAGATACAAGAGAGCACTGTGTCTCGATTAAGAAATGGAAATGTTTGAAAATGTAAAATCTGAAACCCTAAGGGCTTCTCTGCATACTTTGAGGAGTGCTGGGGCGCAAGAGATGGGAAAACTTGCAGGCTGTACTGTGGCAGTGTGCAGATGTATTTGATAATTTATCAGGTGTCTGAGCGGAGCAGAAGTGATAACCTAAAGCCCAAAGCAAGCAAGACACTTTCATTCACAATGGTTGC